TCTTAAAATTCATGCATTCAGGAAAAATTGATGATAAGGTGGCAAATCCAGTTAACTAATTATTCATGATAGTGGGCGATCAATTTTTCATAGAAATGGATATGGAGCTTATACTTCTCAAATTTTCACGGTATTTTTTGCACACCTTGATGAGAAGTGATGTAAGTTGAGCTTCATTCTCTATATGCACAGTTTGTAACGATGTCATTTTTATAGGAATAAAGAGCATTTCACCATCCTGGTTTCACTTAATTGCATACAGTCAAACATTTTCTCAAACATCATTGGGACTGAGAAAGAAAGCTTCAAGATATATATAATGATTCAAGACACCGAGGACAAAATACTTGAAGAATAGGTGACTTGGGCTTTCAAATCACTTTGAAATAACCATGGTATTCAAGACATCAGTTTTTGGATGATTTTGAAGTCAACTTTATTCCTCCCTCCTGGATCTTTTTAAACGTGAAGGATGGACAATTGGTTCACAAAAAATTCTTATCTAGCTCACAGTAAACATAATGGTGCATGTGCTAGGATTGGACATTCAGATGAATAGTTATAATCAATAAATATAGGTGAACAAAGGTTCTACATTCATTCCATTATGTGGGAGAATTTCTGTAAAGAATTGGGAAATGTATAATTTATTACATGTATTGCAAGTAGGTGTTGATTAGGAAAAGTCAAGGTTCTAAAAGTTCTTTCCACCCAGTCTGTACACTCCATAAAAGGACAGAAATGGGAGTCAAAAAAGAGAATCGGCAGTATAACTTTGATCTTTTTCTAAATACAGGTGCCTTAATTTCCCATCCTTTTGAGTAGATCTGCTGACATGACAGATTTCCCTAATGCTTTCAAAAATTTCTTCATTTGTAAATTGAAAAATATAGCATTAATGTACAAATGATTTGAAATTGAGATGATGTGTGTGATCTTATTTTTAATTATCTAAAAGAATAGGTGAGTGTTGGCTTGGTGTAAAATGGGGAGGATGGAGGCTCCAAGATGGAGTGTCACAGAGTGCAAGGGATGGAACCTATTGTGTCTTATTTATTAGATCTGTCATTTCAATTTCTCAGTGATAGAGAATTTTTATTTTCTGGAATGGGAAGAAAGATACAGTTATTGAGGACATAGACATCTACAGAACGTATATGTAAAACAGTCTCTGACGTGTATACACGTAGAAAGCTAAATTGACCGGAGAAAGAATAGCCAGATAACAATCTCATTGTTAATTCTGTTTTGTGAAAAAAGATTAAATATATTTGGCTTTCTATTTTGGGCTTGAATAGAAACTAGACAGTAACACAGGTATTTAATTGGAAAATAAACAAACATACATCAGCTATTTTCTGGTAATGACAGTAGGTTTTGTTAACAGCACAATGGCAGAGCTTTAAAATTTTCTCGGTAAAGACACCCCCAGCTATGTCAGATCTTGATGTTTGGAGATGTGAAACACCGTAAATGCAAAAAAATCGGAGAGAAAACTCAAATCTATCTAGATTAAGTTTCAGCAAAAAGACAGTAATTATGGCTTTGCTGGCAAGGCAGAGAGCAGAAGAAGAGTGCTCGCTATGTAAAAGCTGTTTTAAATTAATGTTGAAACCCTCATCTGCAGGAGAAAATTTTGTTTGAAAAATGTATGCGGTAACAAAATGACAGGCGGTAATAAAAAGAAGATGGATAAAAATCGTTTAAAGCAGTAGAACTTTTTTTTTGCAAGGGGGACCATCTGTAAATGAAACATAAGTATATGATCCAACAAGATAAAGACTTAATTGCTGCAATGTAAATAGGATGATCAGTTTTCAATGAAACAAGAAACTGCATCAATGCTTATAAATTTGTTTAACAATACACACACATTCTCTCTCTCTCTCTCTCTCTCTCTCTCTCTCTCTCTCTCTCTCTCTCTCTCTCTCTCTCTCTCTCTCTCTCAGAGAAGGGGGAGGGGGAGATTAATTCTAAAAGGAAACAGTAGAAGTACCTGTATAACCTTGAGATTTCACATGGCAATGACTTTTTGGAGAGGTAATGACAGATCACTGCATAAATTGAATGAGTTTGATTTGTCATTGCTCCTTGCAAATTTCATAACTATTTTTAATTGGAAAGACAAATCAAGGGTAACAAGCTGAATAAGAATGGGACCACTAATTATATACAAACTAGAGATACTGTGAGCACTGAGGTCGCTAAATGATACCCCCCGCCTCCCATATGATTATAATGGCAAAATCCATGTTTTGCTTTGGGAAACCCGAAATAAGTGTCAGATCAGTAAGTAAAATAGGAGGTGCACAATGGCAATATGTAACAAAGTTTCTTTGAAAGTCTCTTAAAATTTCATTCAGCGGTATAAGAGGAGTTGCGAAAAGAGATAGGTACCCCAAAGCGTAACAGACTGACGGACATACAGACAGACGGAAGTACAGCTAGACGGAGATACAGACGGATGGACACCCCTATCACTATATACCTTCCCACTTTTCAAGCGGGGGAGGGGAGGGGGTTATGATTAAGCAGTTCTACTTTACATTTCATCAGTTTGAAGATGTGGATGTCATCTATTCTAGACTCAAAAAAATAAGTTTATAATTTTAAAAAGTGCATGAACCTGAAATATTTTTTATTTATACCATAGAATATGTGACATGAACCTTAATATTAATTTATACTCTGTAAATATACTACAAAGATCAGATTCAACACCTAGAATTTGAAGCTGATCAAAATTCCCATTGCCAGAGCTGTTCAGTGACTTGTATGACGTATGCAGCATTATTTATTGCTAATTATTTCCTTTCAGAATTTTTAAAAAGAAAATAATACTTCAGAAATGCTGAAACATTAAATCTAAAAAAAATTTCTATAACTGGAACATATATCTCTGGGAAGAATTTATTGTGGAAAAAAGAGAAAAATTCACAGTTGTCTTTAGGTATATCTTGTTTCCTTCAAAAGGTGCTGACAGTAAATCCTATAAACTGCAGCTGAGATTACGACAATCTTGTCACGGCCATGATGTATGTCAGATATTTTGTAGAATCGGTGACAGTGTGCTTCTAAGGGATTGTGACAAAGCTTATATAGACAGAATTCATTCCTCTATTCTGTTCTGATACTGAATTCTTCAACGTAAGACCATGGATCACAAAGGTTTATGAAAGATTTATGATTTCTGAGTTTAAAAGCAGCAACACCTAACCAGAAAAAATTTAGAAATTCTTTATTCCGTTTGATGTAGGAACAGTACACATATGTTCCATCATTTCTTCTGAACTGTCTTATGAATGGTATAACTCTGCTGACCTTTTCAAGTATCTGTTATTTATAGGACAGACTAGATAGGACTAGTTTTGTGTTCTAACAGAAATTCAGTGCATCTTTATAAAATCTCTCCTGCTGTGTCCTCTTCACCTTGAGTAAATCTACTGGATTGTAAGAATATTAGAGTCAAAGATTTCCCTTATTATTTCATAAAAGACAATTTAAGCACCCTCTAATTTACACAGCACACTAAAGAGTTCTGATTGAATAAGGTTATTTCATGCAGTTAGAGTGTTCTGCCCTTTGATCTAAGCTGAAGTCTACAGTAAGGCTGTGTATAAAATGACAAAAATCATCATATTTCAGAAAAATATAGCAGTATTTCACGTGTTTTATGTAGATCTCATTCTGTTGAGCTTTATTGTGTAGTTATACTCTATTACAGATTGCAACCCAAAATTCTTTTCATATTAAACTTGGAATTCTGACTTGAAGCTTGCTTGTGAATTGAAAGATGTGGCATCTAATGGCAAGGCTGTCCCTAAAAATTGAAATAGATGGGAATATTTTGGAAAATAGAAGGGAATCTGGACATTGGGGGTTTAGAAGGAATACCTAAAAAATAAAACCAGGGATTACATTATATAGGCAGGGAAATTCCACGGCCCATGGGTCCAAGGAACAACCCTGAATGGGAAAGGACTTTTCATTCTGATGAAGAAAGAGTGGTTAGAAGTTAGAGACTGGTGTTAGAATGCTTTAGGCTTGAGATTCCTGCTCTTTTGAGATCATCTGTTAATTCTCCTGACCACTTTTATGAGAATTTTACTGCAGCTTTGTAATATGATTATTATCATACAACCTTTATAGCTTGCTGCAAGCATTGGCATTGATGTCGTTTAGTTATTCATATGAATTTCCTTCATTATTTTACTATGCGAGAGTAAATAAATGTTTTAAGCAAAGAGCAACTGTAGACATTGAAGAACTCATTTGGGGGGGGGGGGGGTCAAAGACTTCTAGAAGACCAGAAAAGATTGGAGTCATCAACAGTTATGTATATCAATTGTTGAAACCCAAAGATAGCTAGGTCACAGAGACCTTGTTATGGAATTTAATATTTTACATCATGTTCCCTTACTGTACTTGCATGAGAAATGAGAGCTAGTTGAAAATAATCTTGTCAGGAAGTTGTAAGTCAAGACAATAACAATCAGTAGGTAGCTCTGATTTATATAATGAATTATGTGCTTGTTGGCCTTGAGTACTCAGATTTTGTAATTTAAGATGTAATGTAGAGAACCACTATAGCGAGTTGAATTTACAAATATCACCTGGCTTTGTAGCTATTCTTTAAAAAAAATCATATTCATCTATCATATACTGTATGTGTAGTTAAAAAAAAAAAAGGCTCAATATTTAGGGGCCTTGGAGCAAACATTGATGTGCTAATTCATGAATATTGCAAAAAAACCCTAAAATTAATACAATGTACGATGGGGAAGTGTAAAGCACTAGTTCGTGAATACACCATCAACTCAATACCTGGTGTTTGAATACACCAATTTATGCCTATGATGTCGTTTTCCTTGGAAAAGAATTGACAATTTTCAAAATGTAATTAATATGTTGTTTATTTTTAATTATGAATGAGAATTATAACTGTTTGAACATATGAATGAATATACCTTTTTAATATTTTGTTCAATATATTTTTTCAGATGAAGTCAGCTGATGGTTTCGCTGCAGGTGCTCCTTCTGGTTTCTGCTGAATCTGCTGCTACAATATGTTTTACAGACTCTATATAAGCCTCAAACTTATAAAAGCTGGTAAACTGTAAACATTCCTGTTTCATTTCCTGGTGAAAATGTGTTAAAGATGTGTTTATATATATTCATTTGTACTTCTAAGTTTTTTTAGACATTGTATGAACCTGTTGTATGTTAAAATGAATGTGTTTTATTTTTATTACACAAACTTCCAATCATATTTTCTGCATCTTTATTAATTTTGTCAGCTGTTTTAACAGGTTACCAGGCAGTATACATTTAATGCTATACATGTATGTAAATTTTCGCTGTTACCAATTGTCAGTGCAAGTGCACAAGAAAATATATACATATTATACATTTATAGCTGTCCTACATAAATAATCTGCTCATTTCATTTTCCACATTCATGGTTATGTTAAACCCTGATCAGTTCTTATGTAATGATTTATTAACCAAGTCCCTCAGCTAAGTAACATTTAGAATTACGCTTAGTAGAACAGATATCTATAGTCCAACATAATTAGTCCCAATCTATGACTGTGTCTAGATCATTATCAAAGACTTGTTTGTTCATTATGGGTCTGCCAGAATTAGGTACGGGGCCCTGTGATGTGTTAATTATTGGAATAAAAGGCATGCTGGTGTAAAAAGTGTGCACATAGAGCATTTGATGTTTATGATTTTGTACATATGTGTGTATTGCAAAATTGGTGTTATGTTTGAAGTATGTGTGCCACTTTGTTTGAAATTGAATGAATGTGCTTTAATGACTTCCTTATTATTAGATGTATTGAAGTGGTTAGTTGTTCCTGTTATAAGCTTTTTATCTGACCTTGCATTAATTATTTTATTTTATACAGAATTTGGAGAAAAAAAATATATGCAAGAAAATTATTTACATCTTTGTTCTTGATTAAGAAGTAGGACAGTTTGTAGAAAGAATGTGTGTGTGATTTAGTATTATTTTTTCGCCTCTGTCAGCAAGAAATTGAGTAACATTGTAAGTAGATTACACCATTAGGTAATAGAAATCCCTAATGTTGTGTTAAAGGGATTGCACTCTATGACTGGATTTTACATAGATATTATAGAGCCCTAGTGACAAATTGTGTATTAAAATCAGCTGATTTCTGTCAGGTAACAGATGCATAGGCTTGTATTTCAGTACAGGTTATTTGATTTTGCTGACCAAATACGAAACGGTTAATACATCCTCAATTGAAATATTTTTATGTATAATTACATGTACAAGCATCCATGCAGGGTGAGGTTGTGTATTACACTAGCTGGTGTCATGCCACAGTTTATTTATTAATCCTGGACTGTTATGTTTAGGTAGACGTACACATGACATTTCCTTGATGTGAGCTGTTACAGTATCTGCTTGTTTGACATATCATTTATATGCTGCCTCCATTAATAACACAGCTAGTTAACCGTTGTTCTATGATTTATTGTGACGAAACATAACGAAACGAAACGAAACGAAACGGTGAAAAGATTGTGGGCAGAGTAAACAACTGTAATAACAGTATGACTGTACATGTACTGAGTAAGGCGACGAGTGCCAGAAAAATCTCGTGCAACACGCACGGAAATAACAATTACAAAACAAAAAAGAAAACCAAGGCATGCCGGAAGAAAAAATTCCGGACTACAAGACGGCACACTCCTCGCCTGATATTAACAATATCATCAAATTTCAAAAAAGATATTTAAGATAATGTAAACATGTAATAAATTAAATTACAGTCCATTTACAGTCTCTTGTATTATCTGTTGCACTGAATGACAGAAATGTTCACTGTTCCACAAGAACGATAAGTTCTGTAACCGGACGCACATAAGTTTTAGGTTCACCATTCGCGATTATACGAATTATCACTTTACGCACTAAATCATCATCACTTGGTAGAGACTTGACAACGATTCCCATTGGCCAAGAATTACGGGGTAGTTCTTTATCGCAAAGTAACACCACATCACCAGATGATAGATTTCTTTGGGGTAGATTCCACTTACGGCGCATCTGAAGAGTGTTCAAGTATTCTGTCTTCCATCGTCTCCAGAAAATAGATGCTAAGTGTTGTACCCTCCTCCACTGTGTCTGTAACAACTCGCTCTTGTTAACATGATCAGAGAACAGTTTGTTGTCTTTAACACTTGTTTTCTGAGTGAGTAGAGTTGATGGGGATAACACAAATGAATTCTCAGGATCTGTAGGTACCGACACAAGGGGTCTTGAGTTGATTATGGATGAAGCTTCTGCTAGGAACGTAGTGAGCACCTCATGCGTTAAACTCCTAGATCCGTAGTCGAGTAGCATAGCATCCAGTATACGTCTGGTGATCCCAATCATACGTTCCCACACTCCTCCCATGTGAGAGGAGTGGGGAGGGTTGAAGATCCACGTTGTTCTCTGCTCGTTGAGAAAGTTGTGGAGATGTTCATCCTCTACATTTATCACATTGACCTTTAACTCCTTGGCAGCACCAATGAAATTTGTTCCTCTGTCAGATCGAAAGACGTGAACAGGCCCACGAATGGCGATAAATCGACGGAGCGCATTTATAAATGAAGATGACGTCATTTCCTCTATGACTTCGATATGTACAGCCCTGGTAACGAGGCAAGTGAATAGAGCAGCCCATCTTTTACTGTTTGCTGCGCCACCTCTGGTACGTCGTGTGATGATATTCCACGGTCCAAAAATGTCAACTCCAACGTTAGAGAAGGGTGGTTGTCCTGGTATGAGACGATCCTCAGGTAAGTTAGACATTTTCTGGTATTCTGGTACTTTTCTAGAAGCTTCCTGCAAGTGACGCACTTGTGAAGGACAGATGACACAAGTCTTTTACCTCCGACGATCCAAAATCCAGATGAACGAATATGACCCTCTGTAATATGACGTCCTTGGTGTTTGACATCTGAGTGAAGTTTCCTGACGATAAGAGTAGTTACATGATGTTTTGCGGGTAGAATCATTGGATTCTTGAATGAAGCATCAGCACTGAGGTTTCGCAAACGACCACCAACACGTAAAATGCCTTCACTGTCAATGAACGGGTCTAGTTTTTGAATAGGACTGTTTTTTGACAAAGGTTTAGAGTCCTGTAAGTTTTCAATTTCCTCAGAATAGAATTTCTGTTGAATGTCTCTGATAATGACCATTTCAGCTTTGCACAGAAGGTCAACATCACTCATCATGTTCTCTGCTTTACGACACTTCTGAATAAATCCATAAACTTTAGCAACCACTGCTACAAGTTTGTTCCACTTTGAGAATTTTGTGAGGAAATCATTGCTCAGGCCGTAAGCTGATTTTGTCTCAATGTCAGTTTTGTTACAGCGGATTTCCTTGTCTTCCTCGGGACTCACAAGAGGAAAATGTTCTTCAGAAGTTATGTCTGTTTTTTCTAGGTTAGAGATCCAGACACAGTTCTGCATTTCCCTCGGGAGAATTCCTCTCGTGCTAACATCTGCTGGGTTGATTTCACTACGTATGTAAGACCATTGTGACGGATCACTAAGACTTAGGATGTGAGCAATACGATTAGCGACGTACACAAAAAATCGTTTCTTAGCATTGTTTATGTATCCTAACACAATCTGACTGTCACTAAAATATTTCACATCGTCTATTTCTATCTTTAGCTGTTCTTTTGCTGTTTGTCCTACATTTACACCAAGTACCGCGGCACAAAGTTCTAGTCTAGGGATTGTATGTCCACTGACAGGGGCCACTTTCGCTTTCCCTAAAACGAAGCCTTGAGAAGTAGAACCATCGGGATAGTGCACCTTTAAATAGCAAACAGCAGCTATGGCTAGTTCGGACGCATCACAGAAAATGAGTAGTTCTTTCCTATGTGCTTCACTCAGATTAGGAACAATCACTCGAGGAATTTGTAACTTTTCCAAGTCGGGTAAGTCATTCTTCCATTTCTCCCATTCTTCAAGTAGGTAATCAGGTAGGGCTTCATCCCAGTCTGACGTGTCTGACACTACTTTCCGCAAAATGATCTTGCCCTGAATAATAACTGGGGCGATGAATCCGAGAGGATCATAAAGACGGTTCACAACAGAAAGTACACCTCTCCTTGTAGACGGTTTGTTTTCACTAGAAACTTTGAATCTAATGGTATCTGTCTGTAAGTCCCACAGAAGTCCAAGACTGCTTTGAGTTAAGGCATCCTTATCGAAATTCAGGTCAACAAGGTTCTTGGCAAGGTCATTAGAATCAAAGGCTTCCATAACTTCTTTGACGTTAGATGCGAATTTGTGAAGTCTTATGTTACCATACTCCTTCATGGCATCCTGAGTTTTGTGTATGAGGCTGACTGCCTCATAAGTAGTTGCACAAGATTTCAAGCCGTCGTCTACGTAAAAGTCGTTCACAATGAAGTCTTTCACTTCCTGTCCATGGGTCTTAGCAGCTAGCTCACCAATGCGACGTAAACCATACATTGCCACGGAAGGAGAGGAGCGATTGCCAAATACGTGAACTTTCATGCGGTAAGTAACCAGTGGTTTTTCAAAATCATAATCCTTGTGCCACAAGAAACGTAAATAGTCACGATGGCCTTCATCCACCAGAAATGAGTGAAACATGCTTTGAATGTCAGCAACTACGGCTACTCTTTCCTTCCTGAAACGAATGAGAATTCCCAGGAGATTGTTTATGAAGTCAGGTCCTTGTAACAGCTGTTGGTTCAAGGACACACCCTTGAATTCCGCTGAGGAGTCGAAGACACCACGAATTTGATCAGGTTTATGAGGATGGTAGACTCCGAAAAGTGGAAGGTACCAATGTTCCTTATCCGGTAGTATATATGGACCCAATTCTGCATGATCACAGTCAAATATTTTCTGCATAAATGTAGTGAAATGTTCCTTCTTGACGTTGTTTTTTCTTAAGGAGGCATCAAGACATTTAGCACGAAACAATGCTTGTGAGTAGTTGTCTGGAAGTTGTTCACGATTTTGCCGGAAGGGCAATGGAGCGGTCCATTTTCCTTCGGTTGGATCAAGATGAAACTTGTCGTCCATAATCTTCAGAAAAGTGCGATCTTCAATCGAGAGGCCGAGTTTATTGTCATCTGGTGTTTTCTTGAAGATATCTGTTTTTCCGATGACAGTCTTGTTCGTAGTGATGACAGTGTTCTGTATGTTTAACGTTTGTTTGCAAGGTTCCAACATTGTAGGTCGACCACTTTTATTGATAAAAGTTCTGTTGACGTGTAATGGTGGAATGTGTTTTCCAGACAAACAAACATCTCCAATAATTGTCCATCCTAAAGGAGATCGTTGAGCAAAAGGAAAACGTGGTGGTCCTAATCTCTGATCAATAACGTGATGTGCCTCTGGAAGATCCCGTCCGATAAGCAGGAGGACGTCCATAGATGGATCTAACGGATGTAGGTCTCGAGCAATATCCTGCAGGTGTGGATAATGACGAGCGATATCCGGTGTAGGAATTTCCGTCTGACTGTTTGGTATGTTATCGCACTCCAAGACAGGTGGTAATTTCAACTGATGATTGTCACTGATTGGCTCGATGACAAGGTTGTCAGCAACACGCCCACTACTGGTAACCTTGCCTGAACACGATTGCATTGTGTAGTCAACTGGCAGAGTTTTGATACACAAAGAGTCAAAAAGGTAACTTTTACCTAGAGTTTTGTTGCTTTGGTCATCCAACATAGCGTAAGTCACAATCGATGCTTGACGTTGACCTTGAACATATACGCGCACTGGTACAATCCTTGCACACGACTTTCCACTAAATTCACCACAAATATCAGTACAGTTAGAAGAAACTGACTGCTTCACATTTCCAGAAAGTGAGTTTTCCTCCTCGCCATGGTTTAGTCGGGAAGAAGAATTCCTGGACATCTGACGGTTACTAACATCCTCATGAAGAGCTGTACAGTGGTAGGTACTTTTACACACATCACACAAAACTTTGGATTTGCATCGATTAGCGAAATGATCTGACGTTTCACAACAACGAAAACAAATGTTATGATCTCGTAGAATGTGTTTGCGTTCCTCGATACTTTTGGTTCTGAAAGCTTTACACTTGTTTATAGTATGTCGAGATCCTTTGTGAATCAAACACTGATGTCCGCTATTCACTGTTTCTGATGAAATGTCAGTTTTGTGGGTAAATACGGCAGATTTAACTTTACTTTGTCCTTTGCGATCAAGGCGGTTCTCCTTATTAGAATCATCAAATATCAACCCAGGATCATTTCTGATGATGCTCATCTCACCAATGAATGTCACAAACTCACTGAAAGGAGGAAAGATTACACAGTGTTCTTTCTTGTAATGGACAACACGAGTTATCCACTTCTCCTGAAGATAACGAGGAAGTTGTTGAACAATTGGTTTTAATCCAAGGGATGAATCAAGGTATGAAAACATCACACTGTATTCTGGAATAGCTTTCACGGCCTGCACCTCGCAAAGTAGGTCATGAAGTTCATATAACTTCTTGTGGTCTGTGAAATCTGTTATAACTTGCAGACGAGATTTCAGGCTTGATTCTATCAATTCAGGCGATCCGAATCGTTCATCCATACGTTTCCAGATATTGAATAAGCATAGTTCTGGATTACTCGCACATGAAGCTCTAAGACTCATAATCAGTCTGTTAGCTTCTGAGTTTTTGTTTGTACAATTGGTGAGAAGAGTTAATTCTTCCAGTGGTGAACACCTTATTTCTGACACCATCGTCTTAAACTGTGTTTTCCACACTACATATCGATCTGGTTTGTCATCAAAACGCTGTTGTTGAAAACTTTCCAACAGTAAGTTCTTTTTGAGAAGGAAATTCGAGGCATCTGAATAGTTCTGTGATGGTAAATTCACGGTAGACTGCGTTGGTATCTGTAGCAGCGGAGAACAATAATTGTCAACATTTCTGTGAAGATGGTTTGTACGAGTTCCACTATTGAATATGAAAGGCTCAGCATTGGGGTTCAATGTGAGATTGTCAACAAAGTTTCTTGTTTTCTGCTCACCAGATACACTAGGAACACTGGGTTTTAAATCTTGATGTTCCGTGGTTTCTTCCTCCTCTTCAAGTTCAAATTTAAGACGCATATTTGCAATGTCCAGTTCTTCCTGTTTTTGCAGTAGATCCAATTCCACATCTATATCTTCCTGTTGCTGTTGACTTTGAGCTTTGTGGATTTTGTCTTCTAGGGTAATTTTGGACTTTTGTTTTTTCAGTTTTGCAGACTGTTCAGCAATTTTAAGGCGGGTTTTAGCTTCCTCCACTTTCTGTTGTGAACGTCTACTAAGGGTTGATGATTTAGAACTTGCTGTCTTATGAGACGGGTTAGAGTTCACTTCCAACTGGACCAAATCAATATCATCTTGTACTTTCACTAAAGCGTTTTGAACCTTCTTATTTATCTCGTTAAAATTCTTCCGTATAGTGTCTAACTCTTGTGTACTATCAGCTGTATGTTTTCTATCGAGGTAATCACCAAATTCTTCATGATAATCTTTGTAACGCTTGAAACTGTCCTCAAGTTTTTCTTTCACTGACTTTAATGCGTAGATCTCTTTTGCAGATGAAGCACATTCTATCAATACACTTTCAATATCCTCTGAGAAGCGTAAAAGTATGTCTCTATACCTCTGAACTTTTTCTTGATATTGTTCTTGTGCTTTCTGTGTGAGGGTGTGCACTCTACGTGACGTATCTTCGTCCTCTGTAGAAATCTTCCCCAGGTTATGAGCCATGTCTGTGTAGTTGAAACTCTGGAACGTTTCACCAATCTTTTCACTATGCTGCCTCCATTAATAACACAGCTAGTTAACCGTTGTTCTATGATTTATTGTGACGAAACATAACGAAACGAAACGAAACGAAACGGTGAAAAGATTGTGGGCAGAGTAAACAACTGTAATAACAGTATGACTGTACATGTACTGAGTAAGGCGACGAGTGCCAGAAAAATCTCGTGCAACACGCACGGAAATAACAATTACAAAACAAAAAAGAAAACCAAGGCATGCCGGAAGAAAAAATTCCGGACTACAAGACGGCACAATTTATGTAATATTTGACAAATATCTCCTGTTACTGGCATGTGGTGATCTCAAATGTTTTGATTGAAAAATTAAAATAATTCCACATACGAAAAAGACTTGTTTTAAAAATAAAAAAAAAATAGTTATACTCTGTTCTTTTTCATTTTTTATGAAGTTTATGTATGTTTGTCTATAAATGTTATTGTATAGATAAAAAATGTCCTGACTTGTACCTGTTTTCTTTTCCATCATATTTGTGGTTTTTGTTGTGAATTTTAATTGGATGTTGGTATTATTTTAACATACATCATCTTAAAATAGCTTAAAGGTCATTGGACTCTTTTTCAGTTTTCATATTTCTTATTTAATTTATTCACTGAAGAGATAGCTACAATGACATAGCAAATCCATTTAAGTTAACTAGAAGCTACAATAATCTTACTGCCAAAACAAAACACAGTTTAGGGGTTTGGTTAATTACCGGTATATTTCACCTGTTTTAAAATCGCAAATTTATAGCGTACAGAATATGTGCGACTATCACATAAATTGGACAAAGAGAGAGGGAGACAATGGATGTTCATTGATTTTAGCCCTAATCAATGGAGGGATACGCTTGCTGGCTATATTAATCAGCTGTTGGGTTAAATTACTTCAGAGTCCTAGTTATGATATTTACTTTGTGTGGAGAGGACAGGTATTATATTGATTTGTTTATGTCAGAAGTTTCCAAAACCTTTTGTCCCTCATTTCAAAGCAAGAGAGAGAAGAAGACATGCTTGAAAAGAGCTTTTTTAAAAAAATTTGCATAGCTGTCAAAATTGCAAGTCAAAATTGGTGTATGCAAAATATGAGCACCTATTCTGAGAGATTTTTCAATATTTCCAATCAGTGTAAATGAATAGGCTCTATGTACCTCATTTGTTATCAAGCACTAGATACATGGATGAATTATTTAGCTTGGGCAGTTGGGCACCTATTAGTTTATGGTCAAGTCCTACTCCCCACAGGATACATATTAACAACTTTGTAATGTGGCCTTTGGTCATGTCTATATAGCTAAAAAATGTGTAGGTCTTCATTCATTACACATACTTGCCAATTTAATGCTGATAGTATTAATAGTACCAAATATAACACTACCTGTACAAGTAAGGTAGCACTTTAAAGTTGATTAATTACTCTGCAGATTAAGAAATCTCAGTATAGGAGAATTCAGTATTTTTCATCCCTTTATTTTGTTCAGTCCTCTCAATATTGGACAAATTGTCACTAAAAACCATCGAGTGTGAACAATTACAAAAATGTCAATTGGTTTTAAGGTCAAATTTGATATATTATATGGTAATTGAGCCCGCATGCAATGTACATATACTAGTTTAGGTAACTGTATTTATTCCCTTTTATTGACCTAGATTTACAACTCTGTTTACAAAATTTTTCAATTGGACTTCCTGACCTAAATACGTGAACGTAAGCTGCAGTACCTGCACAGGTGTGTATTAAAAGTATACCTATGTGCAATGACCTTGTACAGTGGTGTATTGTCCAACAAATGACACATTGCTCAATATGGTGCATGACCAGTGTGTTTGACTATTGTTTCCGTGTATAGATAAAAAAAAAGGAATATGCCATTGTAACTTGGACACATATGTGCTCAACAGAGCATGGTGACCTGAGATTAATACAATTTCAAGTATATGTAAGCTACAAGAACTGTATATTGTGGTTATAAATGACCTCAGTCCAAAGACAGAAGTTTGATTCCAGTGTTATCAACTCTTATATGAATAAATTTACATTATAAGCAGGCCAACTTGGATGTGGCTGTGGTGTAGCAATTGTGTAAACACAGTGTTAATTAAAACCCTTAGTACTTCTTAACCTATAAGAATTTCCTTCGCTCTACTAGGTAATAATTGTACATTTATTTAAAATGCTAATACTAATATGTTCCGATTTCCTGCAAAAACCTACAATTTGTTTTACAAGTCGTCGTAGGGTGACAGACATTTATTATCACTCATTATAAACCATTTAGTCATTTGAAATGTTTCTTCCATGTTTTATAAATTCCTCCCACTTTGTTACAAATGTTTCAATTAACAGGTCAATTTATTGAATCCCTTTATGATTTTTTTTGCTCAGGAGTTAGGTATGAAGTTTAATTACATAAGCCATGAGAGGGTATGAGCAGCAAGAAGTCTGGTGTTGACAGGCTTTTATGCCCACAGTAGCAGTTGGTGGTATGCCTGGAGATCAGGCACTTGGCATATGTATTTAACCTATGATTAGTACATGTTACCCTAGGTTGCTGCATATTACTACAGTAAACATAAGCTAGACTTGGGTCAGATAAAAAAAAAAAAGGTTGTCTATAGATTCTAGTTTTGCCTGACAATGATAGTGATATTGCACTCATCCTGTAAAATCTACTGGGTATGCAGATCAACAAGAAATGATCTGAAAAAGAAAGCTAATCTTGACCCACAAACCGTTTCTTGAAAGGTTTTAATTGCAGTGAAGTTCATTTGATCTGCATCACCTATACAAATCCGACAAACTGCAGACTTGTAGAACCATATCATCTTAGTTAAATTATACAGATAAAAAAAGGTTGTGCACTGAACAATCTATTCATTAAGTAAATATTCACTGCTTAAAATACTTCATATATACCTATTTAGGTAATACATGACGTAGTTTCTTTACATCAGTCATCGTTATAATTATACAGATGTGCAGTCATCTTTTCTTTTTCCTGACTCTTCCCATTGTCCACAATAATATCAGCTCAAGATTTTCCATTCATGTTTTTAATTGGAAATTATACAAAATGTGTAGCTAGAATATGGCAAAATACAATGCCAAACTTTCTGCATATCCTGGTGCCTAGTTATTCTTGTATACATACATGTATACTTGCTCTCCAAGTTTCTTAAAAGTGAGCAATGCATGCATATCAATAAAATACTTCGCAAGAAAAATGAGATCAGGTTAGATTTCAATAGAATTTTATTCCCCATTTCTGGGTAAAACAATAATGGACAACTTGACAAGTATACACAATGATTTCTATGGGTTTGAACTAACTTACACATTGATCATTCTTATTTATCACATACATACAATATACATACATGTACATGTACCTAGTGTCCATCCACTATATAATAACAATTCTTTTTTTCAGCTTTTTTTTATGTAAATAAATCCTTAAGTCACACAAAAATGACTTTTTTCTCCATTTGATCTACCTCTTTAGTACACAGATAAAAACAAAAAAAAAATCTGAACAGATTTTGCAATAAAATCTTTGTCCAACTCGGCAGATCAAAATGGCCACTGTACATCATCACCAAGTCTGCATGCATGGTACCTCAATTGATGAAAAAAACAAAATATGCAACATATACAGCCAAATATACTGTGGGATTTTTAAATCCCGGTCTGTTTACAGATTTGCCATCAAATGACCTAGTTGGTAAAAATGATGTTTTCAAGTATGTCAGCATGTTAATACACAACTCCTTTTTTTTCTTCAACAAGCAAGTTCATACAATCTTAATACTTGTTCACTTTGCACCAAACTTTTTCTGTTCAATTCCAAGTGCTTTGTCACAACATATCTCATATATCTCGAGATTACACATTTTTTTTTAACCGGGAATGGCAAGGAATTCTTTATATAGATATACATGGCAGAAACATACAAAAATGACTGCGTCTTTCTTCACATCACCACTGGATTTGGTTCACAAATATATATATATTATATACACATGCATTATTTCTTAAACTGCTTTTTGTTCCTGATTGTCTACTAAAATATCAGAGATTAGTGTTTCACAGAAATTTAAAACTTGTTACTTGGATCATGTTTTATAACATTTCTGATACTTTTTTCCCTTTTATACATATTGTAGATCAATGTTCTTCTAGATATCGCACCAAATTGTCCATTTTAAGGATAGCACAATAAAACAACATTTAACTGTCAAGAGTAACAAGTTTGATTTGATATCATTGAGTAAAAAAAAAAAACTTTTTGCGTAAGTAGCAACCTCCAAAACTCCTTACTCTGTTCAATTCAAAATTGTGTGTGGTATAATTCTTAAGGCTTCCGATGATTCACACTCTTGTATACAAAAAAAAACCACAAACAAACAAACAAACAGTAATAATCAAATAACTGAACAGAGAAAAGGATTTTCCATCATAATATCTTTCACCTCCATTATCACAGTAAATAGCTTTATTTCATATAATCTTTGTAAAACTTTTTTCAAGGATAAATAAAAATGTTGATTCATGAGAAAATATCTTGTCACTACCACTATTTACACAAGTTTTTTCCTCCCTGCCCTGTTCACACTACAGAAATATCGGGCAAGACAAAATCCGTCTCATGGGCCAACATTTCCACAAAAAAAAAAGTTTTAAAAGGCGCAGAAGAAAATGCTCCCTTCTACAAAGTTTAAAAAGTGTTTCAATAAGTTAACTTTACAGGATAAAAATAAATTATTTATATACAAATAGGACAGGCAATACAATTACATAAATATATTATAATTTTTTTCAGTAAAATAACCCCGGACCTCTGTCTTTAAATTTTTTGCAAACCTTTCATATGCTGCCTTGGGGAAAATTCATATCCAAGTCTTCCCAATTTTGGAATTTTTACAGAATTTGCAAAAATCGTATTTACAGAAAATCCAGTTAAACTATTTCTTTGAAATGATACATAACTTTCACTTCTGGAATAAAACCCACACTAATTGCACAGGTAAACCAAACACATAAAAAATCAACAAAAATATTAGAGAAAAAATGCTGTATATTCCTATGAAGTTCCCTATTTATTGAAAACTGGGCACACCGGTTACATCAGAAGACTTAGGGTGGACGATAGCTTCCTTAGTTGGCCTGATGTGTAATATCATAGAGAGCCAGCGCAGAGGAAAAAATCCTCGTATCATTCAGCAACTTTACACAAGACAGCTTTTTTTCCCTCTTTGAGATCAATATTTGCACAACAGCAAAAAAATAACCCTGAATATTTAACAAAGCCAATTTGGTAAAGAATATTTCTTATCCCCTTAAAACAAATGTATTTCAAGCAGTGAAATATTCTTTAATAGTGCTTTACATCATATTTTGCGTAGCTATTATTCCTGATGATCGTAGAAGAATATATAAAATATTTCACCCCTTAACTAAAAAGTACTTTCCTTCCAAAAACTTGGCAAGACTTCTGCAGTAAAGCACATTCTGTACCCACGTACTGAAAAAATAGCCCATCGACATGCAAAAACAAACTGAGTATTATCAGCTAACCCAGTTTTTCAAATTCAATCAGACTGCAGTAATAGGTGTCTCTTTTTTTAAATTGTCTAGGTCACAGTTACTGCCTCTAGATTTTCCTTTAAAAACAGGTTAAATATGGTACTAAAAAGTTCTTTTGTATAAGCTTTGAAAATTCACTATTAAATAAACAGCAATAGATTTCAGAATTATAAATGTACACTTGATTAGACTTAAGCTGCAGAAAAAAGGCTAAAGAATATTGTCCACTGCTCTTTGTACAACATGGGAAAAAAAATTAAAATGTCAGAAATATAATATTTGGCTTCACGAGAGAAAAGTTACAAGATATGACTATATTTCGTTTTTTTTCATTCTCAACTCCAGAAAAAAAATTGCATCCCCTTCTTCAACAGCATACACAATCCAATTCTTTGTACACTATATATAACAGATCTTTAAAAAAAAATGTTGAATTTCCTCTACAAGTAATACATTCATACACATATATTTACACAAACAAACACATATTTTCTGAGAGTAAATTGAAAAAAAAATCTTCCCTCTGTCTCTTTGACATACATGCAGACCTCACTTATTTTCATAGGGACTCTGGATATGGAGAGGAATTTAATACTAATCGTTTGGAATCATAACCATCGCTGCCACAGCTCTCATCCGTATCACTTGTTGAACTTCCATACCCTAAAATGTCAACTTCATCTGAAATGAAAAATTTACATTCATATTTTACTATACGTGATTTCATTAACACAATTTCATTGAGAGGTGGTTAACTTCCTGTATTTGCTTGGTCAACAGTTATGAAAGGGTTACTATTTATATATTCATGGAAGTAAACATTTCCTTATCACTAAAATCAACTTGTCACTTATAGAAGCTGTGTCTTGGCCTCTTGAATCCTACATCTATCAACAAGTACAACCACGTTCAAAGGGTAGATTTTAAGAAAATTTTTAAATTTCAAGTCTTCCCATTTACTTTTTTTTTTAAATTTGCTATTTCATGTGTGCTTTAACATCCCAACTTCCTCCTTGCTTATCTTCTTTGTTTTACACAAAACAGCAAACTGTATAGCCCCTCCCCCCCCTAAAAAATCCAAGTAGATTGCGAAATTGAAATCTGAGGAAATTATACGCACCGGTTTCAGAATTGGAGGAGGTAGTTGAGTTGGTGGTGGCACTACATTCACTGATGCTGCGTTCCTGTCGCCTGTACTGGCCCTGCATAAGGGATTCTAATCTCTTCTGTAACTGTTGCTGTTCCCTTTTCAATTGCACTTTGGCTGAATGACTTTTCCTTTCTCTGTCTTCTAACATCTATAGAAGAAAAGGCAATAAAAAAAGTAAAAATAATAAATTCCTCTAAATAATAAATAAAATGAATACTATTAGATAAAAAAAAAACCTGCAATGTCAACATGCACATTTTTTTCATAATATGCATCCCATTCATTTTTCACCTTGAAATGTTTATATGACCTCTAATATAAACAATAAATAAAAAAAATTAAAATTTATTATGCCATTAAAAATTGAAGCACATGTACTTGTACGCACAATACTGTTACACAAGTGTTCTGATATCTGATGAACAGTAATATCTTTCTAATGATCAAAACCAGCCAGCATGAGATAAAAGAATTTCACTATTAGTTCCTATTTCCTGGAGGCATCATGAATAAATCAGCCTTTGTTATTACATATGTTTACAACTTACTGTTAAAAAAAAATTGATGTCACACTAAGTGAGATAACCCTTTGAAAAAAAATTCTGATTACTTACTCTGATAAAACTTTTAGCCTTTGTTAATAATCCCAAGGTTGTGTGTCTGGAGGAATCACCACCAACGGGCACAATATCTTTTAATTTCTCCAAGCAATACCTCAAATGTGCTCTCCTATTGATGAAAAAAAAGTTGTCATTGAAGGCAAAAAAAAGAGAAAAATTTACAACCAAGAAAAAAAAAGAGTAAAAAAAAAAATCATTAACTTTTGAACTGTCAATAGTATTTTACAAAGTATGCACACACAGTGAAGATCTAATCTAATCACATTCATATGTTATTTCAAAAAATATCTTTGGCCAATTAAAGCTTGGTAATTCCCCTGCATTATTTACTCTTCCTTGGTAAACATCAAACTTCAAAGGCCAGCACAGCTGATCATGCAGATTTCGGTGCATGACCACATTTGTAGGATCATTACATTTTTCCCTGCCAATTAAACTGGATAGAAAACAGGCTGTATTTTCATTTAGCCTGCTCAAGGCTGGGTCACTCTAACCAAGTCCTCCATCAATTACTTGATAAGGCCGTCAACAAAAACAAGGCAGTTGGGGCTTGTGTATTTATATACTATTTACTCCCATAACTGCATGTTCATAAATATTGACTAGCAGCTCTTACCGTTTCACCAGCCAACAATACACAATACTGTTGATTAAGTATTCTGAATTTCTCCAGTACAGTTACGCCCACTTGAGATATAAAAAGAATCTGGGTCAAGTTCACTTTGTGCTAAACAGCTTTTGGCTAGTAGGGATTTTTTAAATGTTTTGATCATGTGATCTGCCACACACTATCAGATTTTTGTAGTTTTGGCCGACATGCCCCACATAAACCAGCATGTTTATAGTTTCCAAGATGATTGTAATTTAACTCACCTATTCTTTTCTAATTCGTTGTGTGTAGATCTGAAAATAAAATTTTTGAATTAAAACTTCAATGTTATATAGCCTCAATAGACAGATTTCACAAGGAGTCTTTTATCACTGACCTATCATTTCATTTGCTAAATGCAATTTTTCCAGAAATATCCCATATTATTGAGATAATTGAGGGTCAACTATCCAAACACAACAATAATCAAGTCTGCAAACCACCACGTGCATTTTCTGCACATGTACACTGCATTGTTTGTGCACTCTGAATCTGCATACTCTTGCAGAAAAGTGCACATACTTGATTCAAATTGATGTTTTCTGTCTTTTAGTTTTTTTTCCTTTTAAATTAATGGTTATTTATTCTGATGCCATGTAAATTTGGATCTAATATTGGAAATATTCAAACACCTGTCCTTAGCAGCAGATGGTTGTGCTATTTTGGCGGTTTCTTGCCTACTTGCGCTTTTTTCCAGTAAATAATAAAAATTATATATAAAGTTTTGCACCGTGTTTAAATGATTCAGTTTTCAAAGAAACTTTATACATTTTTTGAATATATAAATAAGCATGCATCACATTTTCATGTGTGCGCCTTTTTCCTAAACGACCGTTACTACGTGTCCTAATGGTTGGACACCGCACAGAGTTTTTCTCCATGTTTTAAAAAATCAGAATAAACTCCAATGCGGTTTAACTTTTAGAAATTATATTAACATATTCATTTCTTTAAAAATCTCAGTTGTAACAAATCTCATATATATCCCTATCCCTGTTCAAAGTTTTTTGTTTTGAATTTTCGTGAAACCAAGATGGCGAAGTAGGTCATATGAACAGTCAGCAGGAGGCTACTATAACTAAAAAATATGCAACAAGCAGACGAGAACGAGCAAAACTTCTGAAGGAAAATAATTATTTGAAGTTTCAATGAGCTAATTATAGATGAAAAAATATCATCGGATCAAAAATACCACAGCAAAAGGAAATAAAACTCAACGACTATGTCAGCTGATTTCAAAATGGCGACTGCTTTCGTACACGTGAAAGCTGAGTAATCAACAAAATCGAAAGAAGAATTTCCACATACCGATTTCCCTGAGATTTCTTTGGTTTTGTTTTCTTTTTGCTAGCTAAATATTCCGGCATAGGTGCAGTAGAAGCATAACCATGCTCAGCCTCTGAAAAATAGATAAATCCATGTGAACTCACACGTACTCCTCCTTGTTAACTGTCAAAAATTAAACACTTCCAAATGACGTGGCGAAACACAAAATCAACATTTTTTTTCAATATTTACCTCTCTCTCTCCTTTCCAGATACTCTGCAGCTTGAATTAATTGTTCAATATTAAAAACACCGCTATTCTCCATCTTCAAATTCAGACTGTGTAGAAACACTTGTTATCGCTTTGACAGTTCTCGTTTGTTTTGCCAGCGTACACGTTGAGGCAGTCAACGGAGGGTTTGTTTACCTGCTAGCGCAGTGCGTCAGCAAAAAGAATTTCATTGGACAAAAATACGTCGTGACCCTTTCATAAACCAATGAAAAATTGTGTTACAACAATGGTCTTTAGGTCGTAGAACCACGCCCCTACTTCCATTTTTGGATGAATAGGAGTTTACAGTAGAAATATACGCAATCGATTTGCTTAAAATATGCAATCGTGAAATTGTTCAGTCAGGAAGAACGTGTGTAAATGCATGAAAGACACGCAATAAATTAGCAGGTATTTGCATCAACTATTGAAGGAAAAAATAATAAAGGGAAGATGCCTTATTTTGATGCTAACAGGAACCTCCAAAATCCTTTACCTTGGCACGTAACATTGGAAGTAGGAGGCCTGGTCCCTCAACTTTTTGTTAACAGGGTTTTTCATTAGGTTGGTAACCCCTTTCAAGATGTTGATGACAGTACAGTGAAACAAACATATGTACTTTTCAAAAAGAATTTGTTTGTGAAAATAGGATCTTAGAGACTTTGTGTTAAATTAAGTTTTCTCAAAAGATAATTTGCCCCCCCCCCCCTTAATTCTGACTGCCTTTCCAAAATGATACTTCTTGTACGTTACTGTAGATATTCTATTTATTCGTGTTATTATGGGAACCGGGTAGTGGTGGGGTAAAGAAGAATCAAAGTCCGCGTCAAGGAAATAATATTATACGTTTCACTCGCAATTCTATTCATTAATTTTACTCAAATTATTCCTTTTTTCGTCATGTTGAATCTTATTCTGAATGTTATTAATAGAATAAACAAATCACACTTAGCCTACTCTTATAGATCAAATTGTCATACTATTGATACAGATGGCTCACCAGCATAATTATATTTAGTACATTTTCAGTGCAATTAATACAACTATGGAGAAGAATTAAATTGATGTTGAATGAGCAACATTTAAAAGATCCGGCATTTTATATATACATGTATCTATATAAATTATATTAAAGACGGATGACGTATTTTGATAAATAATTGATTATGATTTTGTTCATTTCAAATTGCACACAACTTCATCAACGTATGCATACCAGCGACCTAAAGTATATAGCATCTATTTTAAAATACATAATTATCATAGCACAATGAACACGTAGGGAACCGTATCATCACTTTGATTATTACTGGGTAACATGATATAGATTTTCCGCTCTAACTTATTAATTGATTCTGTAGTCACGATTCTTTTCCTCTACTAACATATTTGATGGTATGTGTATATTACTGAATCTTTAATTACTATTATTCACTTTTAATGATAGTGTGACCCAGTTTTCCTATCTGTCGATCAAAATATTTTTATAATACGAACGGACAGTCCTAATTTAGCTCTGAGCTAGGATATGCATATTGTGATGTAATTTAAGAAGTACAACTTATTTTCTATATATTTCAATGCCTGAAATTTATATTTATATTGAAAACAAGCTTTTAAAATACAGATAAACCATATGATACGTTGATAATTTTAGAAATATTAGAAGCATGTCTATAGTGGTAAACATGTATTTCGCCATTTCAAAAATAAACACTGTAATAATTTCTTCTCAATCAAATTAAGTTTAACAGATCTTCTGATAAGGGTTCAAATGTACCATTAAAATACAAGTGTAAAAATTTGCAAATTGTTTATAAAATAATTAAGATTAATGCAAGACTCCATTTGCAGAGTTTATATCACGAAAGCTTATGATGATCTTTATGAGGAACTTTCTTGGAGAAACATCGTGCGTGCTGGTCAGAAATGGTGTGATTTCCGACACGCATAACGGCTTATGGCCTGGTGAAGTGCATAAATGCCACTGAAGCAAGAACCTATGAATGAATTCTCATGCCGCATATGAAGTTTGGTCAGTTGAAGGTGGCTGGGTAAGGCCCTGTAGCTAGGCCCGTACGTGTGACCTGACATGAACCTACTGTCCGTAAGATATACCTTATTAAAGTATTAAACTATTAACAACCCCCACATGTTTGACTAGCTAACTGATACCAAAAACCTTAACATGAAAAAATATTTTGAGAAATTGAAACGCCATCTTCGTACAAAGATTTGCAAGATTTATGTAAGGTTTAGAGGATAGATATTAAGTAATGGATATATGCCGAATACTGTTCTATATGTAAAATTATCAGACTGTTTGAGGCCCGTTAGGGCCGAAAACTGTCTGATAATTTTACATATAGAATAGTATGAGGCATATATCTTACTTAAAACATTGCCATTTAAATGTCCAAAAGTTACCTGGAGGAGTCCGATAATAACACAATAGGAGTTTACGCAGCCATTGTTTTCTACCCGTCTGATAAGTAGATAAAAGAAATGAGACAGTAAAAAAAAGTGAGTGAACTCTTGTTCCATTTCACTCATTCAATGGCAGTCGTTTAGTTTAGCAGGACAGGGGTCAGGTGGTGAAAAATTTTTGGGGGAACAATTTTATTTATGATGTGCATAAATTGACAATGATACCGACATAATTTTAGTTGATATTATAACCATCACCATGGAAAGTAAAAATGTGGATTTTTACCCTGAAGTTTTAGTTTAGATAATGGAAATATTCTCAGGTTTTAAAAGTGTGGCCATCGGGGAACAAAATAAGGAGATTTGCAGACTCTTTTGCAGAAATGGATTTAAATTCGCTTATTCAAAGTGCTGTATCAAAAATTCTTTTAAAGAGTGGAAAGTATTAATTTTGTGGAAGGGTTAAACTTGGATTTTTTTTGTCATGGATTTGCTTTTTTGTAGCAATTTAATTTCCTTGCGTTTGCTTTCCCAGAATTTGTTTCCTAACATTTTTATTGGGGGGTTCTGGACATATTTAACCTTAATTTCACTCTTCTTTTTGTTTTTTAAATACCGTCCGATTTTGTTATCATTGCCGTCCGATAATATATTATCAGACTGGTAATTATTATTATCGGACGGCTACAGGTAAATTTTTAGACTGCAAGAACAAAGGCATGACGTCACAGCAATGTTTTAAGAAGTCTTATTTTTCATTCTCCTCAGATCCACAGAATTCTCCCTAAAATCAAAATGACCAAGTAGCACATTCATAGACGGCACATTTTAACCTCTGAAGCAAGGCATCCTGGGAAGTTGTAGTGTACCGAAACCTGAGCTAGCGTTACACAAAAGTCCTATTGATAAAGTTTGAGGTCAGTAAGGAATCTCTTCACCTTAAATGACCCCACGCCGACACGACTTCAATTAGATAACCAAATATTTTCTGAGCGTACACATGTAAAACATTACCTTGTTCTTTTTAACGATTTGATTTAGTATGATTTGGTTCAAATGGATTACAAAAGTATCACGAAAGCCAGAAACTCGTTACACTCCTTGGGCACTGACCGCCGAGTTAGTACAGAGCCACTGACCGGTTAGCGGGTGACCGCATTGGTCAGGGGAACTGATTATACCCGAACCCTTATAACCGCATACACTGCATGCAATAATGTACATGTACAGTGCATGTCACCTGAGCATTGCTTGTCTAAGAAATGTTACCATAGAGAGTTCGTAAGTTTTTGGTGGCATAAACGGGAATCTTCTCACTTTGCAGAAATTGTTCAATTTGAAATTCTAGAGACTCACGCTTTGCTTATAATTTATCGGTGTGTCATCATTTGTTCAAGGCCAAAGTCACAAAATTCATGTCTCTAAGGTAACTCACGAGGCCCTTGGGTAAAAGAATAAAAAGAGCTATTGTTTTACTTTTGAAAATTTCTGCATTTTGTCCGCTAACAAAACGGCGCAAAAAGGTGATTACCATATAATTTTAAGGGTAACATAATGATGAATACGACAAAATATACCCAAAAAATGATTACTTCATAATCGGCAATTTTACATTAGTTACTGATGCAAAATTGATCATATACGAAGCAATCCCCCGCTCAAATTTTTGTCATATCCATTATCAGTGTCCATGTTTTGCTATGTTGGCCGTTCCAAAATATGCCACAAAATGCAAAAAGTAAAGCAAAAGGAGGTGCAAAATGGCAATATGTAATAAAGATCCTGTGAAAGTTTCATCAAATTTCATTCAGTGGTATACGCAAGTCAAGGTCATTTGTTCAAGGCCAAAATCACAAAATTCATGTCTCTAAGATAACTCACGAGGCCCTTGGGTAAAAGAATAAAAAGACGGCTCTTGTTTTATTTGAAAGATGCTTGTTGTCCGCTAACAAATCACAGTATCAAAAAAGGTTTGTCATGAAATTTTAAGGGTAACATAACTTATTCGAAGACTGTCCAAAATATACCCGACAATTATTCGATCATGAAATAGTAAAATATATAGTGTATTGCAATGCAGAGTTTTATGGGCTAGCTTTAAATACTAAAGCTCGTGTTGCGAATTTACAGGGAAATAGAAACTTCAACCTCTATTAAATTAATATACTTTTGGAAAATAAAATTTTCCCTATTTTAGATTTTTATAAAAATCTGATTTTTAGAATTAATTTTTATAATATGATTAAACTGAAGTTAAAAAGGAAGTACGCAGCACTGTTAATTTCCTTATTTAATTGCAATTATCAGCATTTTCATAATTCAAAATCATCTGCAGATTCAAGCTTTCAATATTTAAATTAATTACAAGTTTGTATAACTTAAGATATCATATTGAATACTTTATTCATTAACATTATTACTTTCCTGTCCTATGCATTCCAAAAATGACCTAATTACATGTAAATGAAAAAGCTTTAAAGCAAATGATTGGGGAAAAAAGCTGGATGCCTGGATTGATATTTGAAAATCTTTGGAACTATATTAATTGTAAATGATGAAAATAAAAATTTTCGAAAATATTATGAGATAAAAAAAACTTTCTTTGATTTTCAAAGTTTTGTCTTTAAATGTCACTATTATAAATATCCATGCAATTTTTTTTTCACTTTGTAGGACATTACATTGAAACATGGTATTAAAAATTAAAATCTATGTG